TGTGTGTGTGTGTGTGTGTGTTGGGTGGATGAGGGGGTGGGTGGCTCTGTTCCTGGGGATTTGGTGGTTTACACAAAAGAAACAAAAAAAAAAAAAAAGGAGGCAAGAGTGATGCCATAAGGCTTGCTTTTCTCTCATATCAGCTCTTATCAGGGCAGTCATTTTTGACAGCAGAAAAAGCCTTTATCTGGAAGAAACTGTGTCCGTCTGGCCCTGCGTGTGAGCACACACACACACACACAAGTATAAAGATCCACGCTCGGGGCCACGCCGAGCAGGTAATCGGCTCACTAGTGGAGTCAGAAAGGAAGGAAAGAGCTCTCACCAAGTGTATCCCCCTCTTTGACTGGATTAGAGCCCACCAGTATTCAGTCCAGGTGCTCCGGGAGGACGGAGGGGTGAGGGGGTCCACGTTAGGGTTAATTTTCCCTACAGTGGGAGACCACATCCTGCTGTTTGCCGTCTGACAGATCACATATGTAGAAGCTTTGGCAAATACTGGGGAAAATTAGCGCTGAATAATGCTGCCGTGCATGAAAACATATCCACGCATACATACGATACACGCTCATTACCTCTGCTCGTGTGCTCTTCGGGTCCCCTGGGTGTTTCTGGGGGTTAATTTCCCAACCATTTATTACTTTATTATCATGTCATGTCTTTATTCGCATCGTATGCATATGCATAATATTAACTATAACTATATAATAACAGCATAATTGCTGCCACTTTAAGATTATTTCTTCTTTAAATGAAGTGATAGCGCGTCCCCATTGTTGCGGATGACAGGGGAGGAGACATAAGAGTTAATTAACTATAATTAGGAAGAGCCACAGTCAGTGAACAAGCCAGGGTTCTGTGTCAATACGCCACTCAGTAATTGCTTCCTTTCCCTTCCTTCCCTTCACTTTTCCTCTGCTTTCCACCAACCGCTCCTTCATATTTCTTCCTGGTGTCCGTCCAAGCATGGGAAGTTTGGCTAGCCGAAGAGGAGAGCTGGAGAGCCCTCTGCTGGCTCATCGTGGAAATCTAGAAAAACCTCCAAGAGTCAAGCGAACGTGACCTTAGCTGTTTACCCAGGCTGTGGATAATCACTGTAGTAGTTGCTTAGATAGATGAATGCTTAAAAAAAGTCATTTTCATTTCATACAGATTAGAATTTCTCTGTTTTTTTTTTTTCTAAATAAAGCAGTCAGATTCAGAGACATATACAGTAAAATGAGGATGCATTCAAAGGTTATGTGTTTTGTTTCTTTCTAAATTAGCTTCATACAATATGCCGCAAACACCACAGCTTAAAACTGACTTATTGGCCTGCAGCATCTTGCAGAACTTGTCACAGTTTTTCTAGACATTCATGTTGTTTAAGTGTCTTCTGCGTCCTCATGTAGTCACAGACTGTTTCATTAGCGTTTCCATCAAAGGCTTTGTGGTAGACGATCAGTTGCAGGACTCTTGTCACTAAAGATTATTGATTATGACTTTGGCTGTGTGTTTAGGGTTGCTGTCATGCTGCAAATTGAATTGAAACCAATCAGATGCCTCCATGATGGCGCCGCAAGCTGGATGAGAATCTGAATATCTAAATGTTTGATTGGAAACTGATTAAATTCTCTGCAAGATTCTCTGGAAACATCAGCTTTTTTGTACCAGTTAGCTTCTCTGTTAGGTATTCTAAGTCTCACTGTAACATCATCCCCAGCAGAAAAGGTGTAAAATGACAGCAAAAGTCGAGAGCTTTGGGTTTCCGTCAACCCCCGACACTTCATTCATACTGTTGACTCCATGTGTCTTGGCTCGTTCATAACTGCTGGCTTCTTGCCCCACAAGAGGTTGACGCCTGAGGATGGTGATAATCAGAGCTGTCAGTTTTTTTTTTGGTCCAAAGGAAGAGTTCTCAGCAAATGCTTGCCAGATTTCTATGAAATTTGCTGCCAGTCATGACCCCACATTGTGCCTCCTAATGGGTTTGGTGAGCCTCCTGACTTTTCCACCTACGGGCAAACACACCAATCAGCCGCAATATTAAAGAGCCCCTCTGGTGAAAATCAAGTTTTTAGCTTGTTAACATGTCCATATGGTGTTTTTGATACGCTGGAAGACACATCATGAGAGAAGAAGGCAGTAAACTCAATTGTGGAACATTCCTTGAAACTGCGGTTCTTAGACTTCCAGGGCTTTGTATGTAACAAACCAAACGAACGAATCCTGTTAACTTTCAGTGTTGGGCTTTCTGGATCATTATTCTTCTTTGAAATCGGTTTCAAGTTGGAATATATAAGGCGGAATTACTCAAATAATACAACCAGCTGTTGTGCAGCGTAGAGAAGCTTTACAGTGTTGGAGCAGAGTCATGTGTGGTGGACGAGTAGAGGAAGAAGTGATGCTTCATAGATTTGCATTTTCTAGAGCAATGGAGTAGATTTACGTCTTTGCCATTTTTAGGCAGAAATGGATTATTTTCATTTTTTTAAAAATTGAAATATGTCATTTTAATTGGCAGATATTAGTTTCTAGGGGTTCAATAAACAACTGGAGAGGTACAAACACCTGCACAATCCCAGTTGGGTCGACCAACCAGAAGCTCTTGGATGTTCCAAATAGAGGCGACCGAGCTTTTGCAATATCTGCTCTGAATCTCTGGAATAGTTTACTTTTCCATGTTTAAACTGAGACTAACTAAACTAAATCGTTGCTTTGGTTCAAGTAGAACTCAACACCCTGACCTTGAGTCGTTGTGTTTCAGCACTTCAGTTCAACTCCTGTAGCTTTTACGTGTGCTTCGTAAATAAAGTCCCTCTCTTGCAACCAAAACAGCTCTGAATCATCAGGGACTTGACACGAGACTTCTGACGGGTGTTTTTTGGCACCAGGACGATGGCAGCAGATCCTTTGGGTCCTGTGGGAGTAGAGTGGGGCCCCCATGGATCGGACTTATCCCAGCACAGCTCAGTGATGCTCGATCAGAATAAAGAACCATGTTTTGAGATGGCAAACATCCCACTTGTGACTCCACAAGCCATAAAATATAGAAAGAGCTTATAATATATCAGCTCAAAATATACATATAATCATCCAGATACACATTTTAGATTCAAAATCAGATAAGAGTGGTAACTGATCAAAATATTACACAACAAAAACATGTCTTAAAATAACACGCTGGACTCTGGGATCTTGGGGATCTTTGTCTTGTTCCTCGAGCTGGATGATGTTTATGTGGGTGACGTGTCTGAGTAACATCTGAATGAATGCCAGGACTAGCAGCACACTGGCTTGTATCAAGATGATCACTTCAGCTGTCGGGGGTCTTAATGTTGTGGCTGATTCATGTATTTGTGATGGTAAATGAAATATCTCTCAAGATAACAGCAGATTTTCTGAATACTTTGCAAGGACACTGATGCTCTTGCAAAGATTAACTGTCATGATTTTACTCACCCAATGACTTTTTAGATAATAAATTGGGTGAGGGCTCTTTGGGAATTATACATCAGCTAATAAAAAGCACTGCTGCTTCCCTTAACTTTGCAAGTCTCCCACACAGTGAATGCGACAATTACCAGGAATACTACTACTACTACTGCCGGCCTTCATATTTACCACCTCTAGCAAACCAGTGACATTGCATCATCGGCTTCGGCTTCTGCTGTTTGTTTTTCATGTGTCAGACTGTCATCATGCTTCCTCAGATCAAGAGAGCTGCGTTGTCTTGCGGTTGAAACGCTCTCAGAATCAAACTGAGCTCAGCTGCTGAGGGTTTCTGCTCGAAAGGCTCAGAAGTTCGGCTCTTATGTCACAAAGTCAAGCAAAAATCTGTTTTATTTATACAACCCGGAATCACAGATTTGTCTCCGCATTCACAATCTTTTAAGGTTTATTCAAATTTAAACACGAACTACAGGCTGTTGTGGGTAATCCTCCGTGTCACAAACATACATGAAATACACAACAACGGTCACGTGAAGCACCGCATGTAATAAAATTAGACAGAATCCACTGAATCACAAGCAAGTAAACATTTGATGGCGGTGGTTCTGTATTAAAGTTTAACACTCAGCAGTATGTGCCATGAAAACACAGTATATTTCAAAAAACATGTTTTTGATCACAGCATGTGTGTGTGCGCGCTCACGGACGTGTGTCTTCGATCGGTGGGCTCTTTGAAGCGAACATACCCCCCCCCCTCCACCACCTCCTGCTCCTCAGCCGAGCAGATGAAAGCGGATATGTGCGATTGAGAGTCCACCCGCTTGTTTCCACCCGCTTAAACCGCCGAGAAAAAAAAAAAAAAGGGAGGATGATCTAATATTGTAGCAGTTCTGATACAATCGCAAGTCTGCGTTTCCCCTTTTTTTGTGATAAGAAAAATGAAGGCTTCCCATAAAAGAGTGTGGCTGATTTAGTGTGTTTACGTTTTTTTATCTTCGCTCGCAAAGATTTCTTGTCAATGTCTGAACTTTGTGTAAAGGTAGAATATAGAACACAAGAGACAGAAGAAGAATCAAATAAAGCACGGGAGATTGAATGAGGGAGTGAAATGTGACTGGGGGTGAAGGAGGCAGGTGGCCGGCCTGCTGTACGCCACCCAAACCCACAAACAGCTGTTCGCTTCTCAAAGCCCCCTTGTGCCCCCCCGACACATCAATTCTCCCTCAACCCCCCCCCTTATATCCACCCCCACCCTCCATGCAAGCCTTCATTTCTGTCTCCAGTCCGACACATCAATTCTCCCTCAACCCCCCCTCTTATATCCACCCCCACCCTCCATGCAAGCCTTCATTTCTGTCTCCAGTCCATCCAGCCATTCCTGCCTCCCACCTCAACGCACTTTGATCATGTGCCAAAACCAGGACAGGAGACACAGCTGGTTCACTATGGACTCATCATTTGCAGCCTCAGTAAGAACAACAATGACTTTTTGTGATGATATATTAAAGTAAATAGGGGGGGGTTTTATAGGAATTAACCAAAGAAAGTGATAGAAAATGACCATCCAACAGTGTGGTGCTGTGTTATTGTCTCTCCAGCTGGTATTTACATCCCACAAGTGTGCTGCTGAGTCCCAGTGCAGGACATAAAAAGGTCAGTCCTCTCCTCTCCTACTGCACAGATGGCCGGTTCACTTGCTGGCTCGCAGCGCTCGGCCCACCAGCATGAAGACCAGCCCGGAGACGAGCTCCAGGGGCACGCCGGCCGCCGCCACCATGAACGAAAGGCCGTACAGCACCGAAACCTGCGCGTTCGGACACGCTTCCCCTCTCTCCTGCAGGATGTAGCGCTTCACGTCCACCACCTCCATCCACAGGACGTAGAGCAGGAGCACGGACAGGAACAAGCAGGCTGCGGGGTGGAAAGACACGGCCATCAGCGCTGAGAGTAACTGCAGAGGAATGCAGCTCCTCCTCACACCTACTGTTACCACGGCAGCAGTGTTTACACCTGCTGTTGTTATAGTGATAGCGCCGCAGAGTGACATCTGCTGCTCTGTGTGTCGGGTTCGTCATGTGACAGGTCTGAGCAGCTGACAGCAGCAAAGGCCGCAACATGTGTTTGTGTCTGTGCATTCACCTTTTCCCCTGGTGGTGTATTTCACACTGCTATGAACTCCACAAACACTCACACACACACAAACATGTACAGACGCTTGGTCTATATTTTTACCAGCAGCGATGAGGAAGGCCCCGCCCAGCTTGTACAGTTTGTGACTGATGAATGGGACGCCGCAGACCAAGAGGAAGCCTCCGCTCAGAGCTGAGACCAGGCCGAGGATTATCAGCACGGTCCAGAAACCCCGAAACACTGCAAGAAGCACAAGCAGAGAAAATGTGTTGTGGGAATTTGGGGGGTTTTTAGTAACATTTGTGGAGAGTTCTTTGACGGTAAATTAACAGTTTGACCTAAAGGGATATATGTCTCTTCCCTTTCTTGCAAAGAAGCTAATGTGAAAAGTGAAACTGCTATTTTACTGTATGGAAATTAAATATGAAGCTACAGCCAGCTTTTATTGGTTAGTCTAGTAACAGAGGAAAGTCTGCATAAAAAGCAACAAAATAAATCTCTACCTCTTGTAAACCTCATAACTAACATTGTCTCTTGTTTGATAGGAACCAGGTCCCTTCCTGGAGCTTTGCAAGGAGGCTTCAGAGATGTCGGAAGGCAACGTTTATATTTAATCCTTACGCAAAGCCAAAGTCTGTTGGCCAGAGAACTGGAAGTATGAGAAAACAGCTGTAGCATCACAGTTAACCCACAAATATGACAGTGGTATTGGAATATTCCTCTAATATTTTCTTGCAAATTACCAAATACATGTATTTTCCAAGAACCTTAAACAGCTTAGATGTGGAGGAAATGTTACAGATATATTCCAAAAACACTTTTTATATAAATAATAACAATAATATAAATAAAAGATTCAGTATTTCTGTGCTACCTTTTTATTCCTGGCAGCGTGCAGCTTTGACAGAGCATTTAAATATGCTTCGACTGCCAACTACATCTAAACAAAAACATGATCTCTGCCTCAAAATCAAGTCGCTAAACTACTAAAAAACACAAATCCACAAGTCCTTCCTGACAGACATTTATGTGTGGAAGTAAAACAAGAAGAAAATATTACAAATAAATAATAGATACAACTAATTTAAAGAAATGCAGGGACGGAAATGAAATGTCATAGCTTCACCATATAAACTTTTTCTATTACCGAATCATGCAAATGGGCAAACTGTTGATGGTGCATGTGTGTATATATGTGTAATAATTGTAAACATACTTGCATGCGTGTGTGTGTTCATAAAGTGTGTGTTTGTGACTGAGAATTACCTGCAGTAGCATCATAGTTCGGATGAGGAACTTGTCCAAGTGCGACAGGCAGCGGGAACAGGTAACCATGGATACACACCTTGGACTCTGGCTGGTTTGCTACAGGTAAAAGAAATGTGAAAAACAATACTTCTCAAAAACCTAAAAACATTATGTAGTTGTTGTGAGAAGAGAAGACACTACATAGTTTTTCATGCACTGGTCAGTTTTGAGATTTTGGGCCATTTTGATTCCATATTATGTGTTTTTTTCAGACTAGTGGAAAGAAAACATCCAAAGTACACACTGGGGTTGACATTTATGCAAATTGGTGCATATTTGTAGAAGCTAGTAACTCATTTGCATGTTTAAACACAACATTTTTAGCAAATGTGAAATATAAAAAATAACTGTCTTAATGTGAATAATCAGCTAGAGATGTTTTATGGTGATATCTAACAGTTAAAATAGGAAAAAGGCCACAAAAACACACAAAAAATCAACCGATTATTCTCACTTTCCTTTATATTTTCTGTCATATATCCATTTTTCTTTCCTGCAATTGTAGTCAAGTCAAACAGACCAAACTGCTGAGCATCAGACATGCAACCACACTGGACAAAACCCAACGAAAGCTTCGTGCAGCCTGAGCTGCTGGAGAAAATTTCGCCCACATACTGAAGAGAGTGGCCAGGACTGCATGTGCTGTGGGCTCCACCTGAAACACACAGCGCCAGAAAAATCCCTCGTGGTGCAGAGTGAGGGACGCCGGCGAAACAGTGACTGCCTCCACTAACTGGATCTGAAACCGAAATAGAGACAGATTGACATCTCAGAGATACATGCTTAAATACCTAAAGATGGATGAACCTTATTTGCTGTCAACTTTGTCAGCACACGTCTGTTTCGAGCTGCTCTGCACTGATTCTGCACTCCGGCGGTGCCAAAGCATCAAACGTGGTTCTGATTATGGGCCTGCTGGTTTGTGAGGTTTTCCAGGGGAACTCGTGAAACACGCACGAGCGCTGCTCTCCGCTTGCTTGTCAGAAATATGATTGATGGTGCTGAATAACACAACAACTTTAATCATCCTCTTTTATTGAAAATGAAAGACTTTGTTGGGCTGTGATGTTACGGAGGAGTTCACCGGGGGATTAGCTTTTATAAATATATCCCTTACTTTGCACTTTGTGAACTTTCTCACAAATGCTGCATGGGAGAATAAACTGGAAAATTAAAGGGGCACTCCACTGATTTTACATATGAAGATCAGTTGACTTGTTGTGTCGAGTCCTGCTCGGCCTGTGAAAACGGTTGCATGAGGAGCTTTATCAACCCCGATGATGTCCTCGGCGAGGGTTAGCGTTGCATGAGGAACCACTTGTACTTTTCAAAAGTTTATTTTACGGCTGAGAGTCAAATAGTTGACCACTTTTATAGAATTGCACTTTATAAACTCTTAGTGGTGGTCGCAGGGCGGCTGTAAGGAAGGCAGCTGGGTGGTGCCACACTGAAATATCCCAACAACTGGACGGATCATTATGAAGCCTTGTGTCGTGTGCTCGGTGCTAATCAGCCAAAGTTAGCATGTTAACGCATTAAAGTATCATAGAAATGCTAAACATACCTGCTATGTTCTCATTGCCGCTGCATGAGCCTGCTGAGTTTGGCATTTAGCTCAGAACACAGCTGTGTTAAGCTTCACACAGCAACTAGTAGGACTGCAGACGCTGTCTTGTTAACAGAGAAACTGTGATCCAAACAGAGGATTCTGTAGCAGCGAAGGCTGGAGCTCATGCCATAGTAAAGGTCAATGAGCCAGACTAAAAGTCAGGATGCCTCGACCTCTGCTGCTGCTTCTGACTGGCCCAACTTAGTCAGAATCGGCTTCATTAGTAAGTTTGACTCAGATTTTTATCCTTTGCTCTCAGAGTACTTGCACGAAAACCACACGTGCATTTAAAGAAGGACTAAAGAAAGGAAAATTCTTCACGATGTACAGCTGTGGATTTATAAAAGAGCATGTTTGAAGTGAACCAAAGTTCAATTCAAATTGTGCAGGTTCTGATGAGACAGGAATAAATGCAGTTATTAACAATAAATACAGGGCTGTCGACACCTTATATGCATGAGGTAGGAGGATGAAATGTTGCTGGAATGAAAAAATACCCAGCGTTTAATATATAAAGTGGTTTAGGGTTAGAGATTAAAAAAGAGTCATTTGACTGATCTAATTGTTCATCTGACTGTTTATGTGTCTGGTTGTTTTGATATTCAGTCAGTAAGTAGGTAAATAGTAAATTACTTCAGTACATCTTTAAATATCCTATAGTGGCATGGTTTGCACGCCTGCTCAGGTTCCACGCTGGTCTTTTTGTGGTTCTCACATGTGATGCTTCACTGTTAAAAATAATGACTCTTCTAATAGGCATTTGTTGTGATTGAGGTCAGCAACCAACTCAAGCAACAAACCGCTGTAAGATTAGGGTTTACTGCTTATTTGTGTTAGTGAACAAAATCTGTGCACACTGTCCTACCTCAGTCCCATTGGCATCTCGTCCCCCTGTCGTTGTTGTTTGTGTCGGCCATGTATATGGTCCACAGTTGTCGCTGGCCACCAGCCAGTAGTCTGTACCAAAGGCCAGGAGGAAGCACAGGGTCCCTATTGCCCCGAAAATCCCCCCAGCCAAGGCTGCAGCTCCCACTCTCATAACGCCAGCCTTAAACCTCCTTTAATGTGTCTGCAGGTCAGCGACTCCTCACTGGTGTCCACTGCAGCCCTCTGCCCAACCCCAGTCCTAAAGAAAACAGTCGGACCGTCCCAGCCACTCCCTGGCATGCTGGGAGCCGGCAGGAAAAGAAGCTACAGTAACTGAGGAGGTCAGACAGGGGGACAGGAGTTATTTTAGGAAGCAGTAAGCCTGTCCTCGTCAAATTACCAGAGGGTGTGCTGTGCATTTATAAAGGAAACGGGGAGAGGCAGGACCGGTGTGAGCCTGAGCTTGTAATGCGTATCAGCGTTTATGACTGCAAGGTATTTGTGAGCTTGGTGTTACTCTTTGAAAATGAATTAGACTGGAGATGCAAATGACCCTCAAACCTCCACCAGAGTTGTTCAAGAGGTGAAACATGGAAAGCTTTTATTGCAGCTGGCAAACACTCGCAGCGATAAAACCACTTAACCCATTTTAACTGTTTTAATTGAGGGATGTCCATTAAAATTGCTGAAGCCTTTTATCAACCCAGTCTTGCACCCCCACACCTCTATGCCTACAAAAGTACGAGGCACTTATCACTTCATGCAGCCATTTGAAATAACAAGTTCATCGGTTTAACATGTTTTTTTTTCCAAGTCTCTCTCCATTTCTCACAGCCTGCCTTCACTGCTGCTTCTCGTTCTCCAAAACAAAGCTGAGCTGTTTCTTCGGGGCTCTTCCTGCAGGAGCCTGGTGCTGTGGAGAAACCTGGTCTTCTCCAGCAGGTCTCGGATCCACTGATCCAGTCTGAGCCGAGGTTGAGGAGTCCTGGAGGACGGATCTCGGGCTTATGGCGCAAACTGCCGAGAGAGGGGAGAGAAGTGCAGCGAGTTCAAGAGTCACAAAGTTAGAATTGTGACACCGAAGCTGTTAAGGTCAGAGGTCAGGAGGGAGAAAGTAATGAGTAAAAATCTGAAAATACATCTGTGAGCTTAATCTGTGTGGTTTTGTAGGCAGAGCAGCAAGTTTGAAAGAAAGCAAGGAGAGACAAAATTAGAATCATGCATGAATAAAAACAGTCATATTTACTGTTAATTGTCCCACAGCAGCGCAGACACAAACACACAAACATGCACAACATCTTTAGAGCTCAGTCTGGGGTACAAATTGGAAAAAACAGGGGAAAAGAGCCTTTTTTTTTCTTGCTTTAAACACAACATTTGATCAATCTTGTTAGTGTTTAGTCTTGAATTGTGTTTCTCTTTACCTGTGTGAGATCTGCTGAGTCCTGCTCTCACTCTGTGTGACTCACTGAACTCTCCATCCTCAATCTATCAATGGAAAAATACAGTCAAAGTCTCCACTGTGCATTTGATAATCCAAAACCTAAAACATCAGTATTGAATTGTTGTTTTTTTCTCTCGCTTTGGTTAATATATTAGGTCCAGACCAGCTAACTGGGGATTCTGCTTCAGGACATTAGCATTTTTTTGGTGCAAATAATAATCTATTCCAACTTTTTGATTCATTTGAAACTAAACACATGCTGTAGTTGGTTAGTTTTGGAAGTGATGTTTACTTATACTATTAAACTGTTTTATCAAGGATTGTTTTTAGACTATAATCATTTGTTTTTCAGTTGCCCTGTGAATTTTTCTTGCAGTATTTGTTTCCCTCAGAATGGCTGCATTACAAACCCACTCAAACTGAATTAATCCTCTTCATTAACGGGCCGTTTCCATTTGAACAACAAGCGTCTCAGAACATGCAGCTGAATTACCCGACGTGCATTTGTGGTTTGTGTGCAGTACCTGTGGCCAGTGTGTGATTGTATTATAAGTGCGTCTCTCTCCCAGACTCTGGTGTCTGTGAAGGGGTTTCCTTGTTCTGTCGGCGGTGGCGTCCTGGTGCAGGGTGTGTCTGCTGTAGGCCGGTGTCTGCTGGAGGGACAGCACAGACGTGAACCCAGAAATATCCGGCTGAATTATGCATAACGCGCAAGTTTGACTTTAATAAAAAACCAAATACAGGTTTACGAAGCAGGCAGTTAGGTGAAGTCAGGAGTAACAAAACAAACACATGCAAAGTAAAGTTTTGAATTTACCTTGTTGTTGAAGTTTTGAAGGTTCCTGGAGAGGATGCGCCTGATGCTGTCCATCTCCTCTGGCAGGAGAGGACGGCTGTGGGAGCGAGGGTCGACTCTGGAAGCAAAGTTTGAATATTCACATCCATTTAGTCAAAGTGTGATGAGAAACCTGAATTGTGGATCAGTTTTCAAAGGCACGACTGGGGACTGAGTGGGGCTGTTTTGTACGGCACCAAACACTTTCAATCAACGGCAAATATTGCAGTAGCATAGTCTCTCCAATTTGAGTTTATCTCACTCTATGATTGAGGAATATTGTTTTTTAAAGACTTGAAGTGGCCCAGATGACCTTTCTTTGGGAACCTTTCGGACTCCCCTAATGAAGAGTCCTGAGTCCATAAAGCAGAAATGTGTTTCCTCACAGCGGCGGAGCCTCGTCGTCTCCTCTCTGCTCCCTCCTCTCCAGCTCCTGGTAAACTCTGAGGATGCTGGATCGAGCCTGATGATCCTCTCGAATCAGGAAACGTCGAAGGTACTTCTTGTTGAATTGCTCAAACCTCAAACACATACAGATGGCAATATAATACCTCCAAAGTGTGCAAAATACACATGGCATTTGCTGCCACCTAGTGGTACTTTCAAGTCTTGTTCTTATAGGAATGCACATCCCAAACTTTTAGGGAAAACCCAAGCGGAAGTTAAAGCAAAAGGAAAATAAGAAGAACTTACTTGTCTTTCCAGTAATGCTGCCCCCAGTAGCCAACCACATCCTCTATTCCTGCCAGCAGGTGATCTATGAGCTACAAAACAGACATGATGTATCATTAGTTTAGATTCTGTGTGCAGTTTTCTGAAGACATTGTGAGTTGAATTGTTGTTCTCAATGCAGTGTGAGTCTCTGCCTTCTCATTATTGCATGCTGCAAAGAAAAGAAATGTAGAAAATGTGTGTTAACACTTTATTTTCACTCGAGTAATTAAACAATGCCAGTTATTTCAGTGCACCATGATTACATTTAACCTGCCCGTCCTACTGCCTGAGGTACCTGCAGATCTCAGAGGTAAGCTCTCTCTCACAGGTGCTTTATTCTATTACAACTTGTCGTGGCTTTGTCAATCATTTTGTTCCTGGTGGCTTTAAATCATTATTTTCTGTAATAATGTTTTAATACATTTTTTATTGGGATCACAAGTAAACCCCCAGTTCACCTCTGCAGTTTTAATAGATGAGCAGACAGACATAGGTTTCTTTATGTGCTCTGTCGACGAACCTAGATGCTGCTCTTCCTAAAATAAGACGAAATGTTTTATGAGTTTTTTCCTCTCACACCAGTTTAGACTACACCCGGGATCTTTCTGCGTGGAGTTTGCATGTTCTCCCTGTGCAGCGTGGGTTCTCTCTGGGTTCCTCCCACAAGTCCAAGGATGGATGGATGGACCAGTTCAGACTAAAATAGTGTGTCATGCATATTACTGACATGCGTCGTTCAGGACGTGGTGTAAATGTGGAAATGCTGCAGGAGGAGGTGAGAAGAAGAGGTGTGCAAGGAGGAAGGTTTGAGCAGGTTTTCTCTGTTTCTCTGAGCTCTAAGATGTGTTTTCCTGTAATAAATCTAGAATATGTCTCTACAATATCGTTTAGGACATCAAGATTCGGCATTGCTTGAATTCTGAGACGTTTAAATTGAACACAAATAAACTTGAAATTACTGAAAACAAAGCGATACCAGAATCAAGCGATGGTAAATAAGTTTTTTTTGCTACTAATGTGGATTGTAGTTTGGATAAAAGATGAAATTTAAATAAAGAAGATGTTTTCTTTCTTTTAAAATTTTGCACAGTATGCAAATTAACTGTACCTTTCCTGAGATAATGATCTTTGTTTGGTTGCAGATGACGCTAATTATATAACTAATGATGTTTTGAAAAGGAATAAGCTAATATGTTGCTTTGATGTTTGTTTCTTTATTCGTAGACTCTCCAGAGATCCGCAGTTCTAAATATGTTCACTGCGTGCATTATGCAATCGTGTGTTTTTAGAGGTAAGAAAGCTGAAATATAATGAGTGTTTGTTGAATAAACCCCACAGCTTGTGTTTCTTTTGGTTTCTTACAAATTAAAACTTGCTGTGCTGAGGTGAAGTTGTTTCGCTCTCTGCTACAGAAAGTAATTCCACTAAAATCCATACTATAAATAAAAAACAGCCAAGCAGTATGTTTAAATGATTAAATCCGAAAATAATTTCTATGTCTACATCCCCATCTTTCAACAGGTAAGTACTCATTTCCCCTGTAATAGTCTAGACTGTAATAATGGCTCACTGAATTACAGACCCTGCGCTGGGATGTGATTGCTGTAATTCCTCACCCGGCTGTGGATCTCCTCGCTGACTGTGGGCAGAGCTCTCTTCTTCCTCTTCACATCAAGCAGCTCCACCAGAGGCTTTATGGTCATCCCCTGGAAACCAAGCTCAGCAAATAAAACCAAAAAAACATCCCCTACGAAGCGATGAAACAGCTGTCTTTGTAATTCATGTTGGCGTTACGTTCCCACCTGTACAAAGACCGTGAAGAGGATGACCACGATGGTGGTCGTGATGAAGAGCCTTTTCTTGGGGAAGTCGTCGATGAGGAAGACCAGGGAGAAGCAGATTGCTCCCCTCAGGCCACCGTAGGCGATGATGAACTGATCTCGGAAGGTGACGGCGTTTCTTCGAAGCTTGTTCACCACAGCGGTCAGCAGGAGGACACCTTCCAAGCAGTGAAAATGGGTTAGAAAGTTCCATTTAGCTGCTGTTTGTAGTGAGGGGCGTTAGACCATACAGCAACATATTGACATTTAACAAATGAAATGTTCATATCCTGTTAGTAATACACATGTAGAATGCAAACAATCCAGCACCAGTAACTCTCTAGTTACCACTCTACTGATCAGGTTTAATGCATTTGAAAAAAAACACACGATAAACAAATTTAAACATGAATTTGACTGAGCTTTTCCATATCCAATAATATCATTATCGTGCATTGGCCTTGATAACGATGTTGTGAAATCTGATATTGCAACAGTGCCTTGGTGATCTGGTGCTGAAGTGCATCAAAGCCTCTTAAAGCTACCTGTGGCTCTCCAGATGAGGCAGAGCAGCAGTGTGGAGCAGACAAAGGGCCAGCTCCACATGTGGACATCCTGGATGGTGGACACACCCAGGAAGATGAAGATTAAAGTCTCACTCACGCTGCTCCACATCTTCAAGAAGTACTGGATGCTGGTGTTGCTGTGCTCGGACACGTTGGCCTCCACGTACTGTTTCATCGTCACAGCGCAGGTCACAATGCTATAGGGCAAAAAGAACAAAACTTGTAAGGCTAAATCAGATTTTACAAAGCTTCAAAGGTAGTCTAGGGTTTGACAGCACTCACGCCATGATACCAGAGAGGTGGAGCATCTCAGAGGTCAGGTAGGACAAGTAGGAGTAGAGGAAGACAAAGAGAGGGGCGATGACTTGGGCTCTGGAGGTGAACCGTGAGGTGAGGGCCGCCACCAGGCCGAAGAAGAGGCCGACGCACAGGCCCCCCAGACCCACCACCACCACCCTGCAACCCCCCAGCAACACATCCAGCCCCGACACCGACGGCAGCCGGAGGAAGGATTCAAACAACTTGTAGAGCACCTGACAGGAAGAAACATGCACAGTTGTGAGAGGAAGTTGACATAGACTTGTAAAGACCATGTATGTCAAGGCAGTCTATAACTCAGAGTTTTCTGTGATGGACTCATTGAAACACATGTGTCTTTGTCACAAAAACAATCACGCATTTTGGTTTTTTCATAGATTTATTATAGAGCTTCCAGAAATATGACAAAATCTGCTGGTTAAAAAAATACAACAACTTAGATTATCAGTTCTAGTGAAGCAGAAAGTTGTTTTAATTAGATTTTCGTAGCCACAAGGCCTCGTCATGTCTTGTAAGTGATTGCAATTGACAACAGCTACTGACTTTTTGAGCCCATTTTAATGGGGCCAGTTTAATAAACTTAACAGACTCAGCCACGAATACTGAGTAGGAAAGTCTGAAGGGCTGAGCAAAGATCTGAAAAAGCAGATCACTGACTTGAACAAGTCAGGAAAGTCACTTGGAGCCATTTGAAAGATGCTTTAGATCCAAAAATCAGCAACTGTGAGTAAATATAAAGTGCATGGTACAGTTGTGTTACTGCCACAATCAGGAAGAAAACACAAACTATCACCTGCTGCTGAGAGACAACTGATCAGGACGGTCAAGAGTCAACCAAGAATCACCAAAAAGCAGGTCTACAATGAATTAGAAGCTGCTGGAACACAGCTGCCAGTGGGTCAAGTTTGCTGCTGATCACATGGACAAAGAAAAGGTCTTCTGGAGGAAAGGTCTGTGTTCAGATGAAACAAAATGGAGCTATTTTGACTACAGTGACCAGAAATATGTTTGGAGGAGAGAAGTTGAGGCCTTCAACCCAAAGAACACGAAGCCTACTGTCGACATGGTGGTGGCAGTATCATGCTGTGGGGATGTTTTTGTGCCAGTGGAATTGGTGCTTTACACAAAGTAAATGGAATAATGAGGAAGGAAGACTAACTACACATAAAACCTAAAATCATCAGCCAGAAGATTGGGTCTTGGACACAGTTGTGTGTTTCAATGAGACAAAGACCCCAAAGACATAAAGAAAGAAAGAAAAAAGAAGCAAAGAAAAAAGGTTAAATAAGGCTGGAGTTATGGTTTCCCCAAAGTCCTGATTTAGGATCATCTAGAACCTGTGGACTGTGATGAAGCAACAAATCTGTGTCAGAAAGCCAACAAATGTAGTTTAACTGTACACATTTTTGTCAAGAGAAGTCGATACAACCAGAAACTTATCCAGAAGCTTATTGATGGGGACCAAAGTTGAGGTGAAAATGACCAAGAGACAACAAATCCAACATTGTCATTGCTGTATGTACATTTTTGACCCAGCAGAGTTTGCTATATTTCCAGAAGACCTGCAATAAATCTGTGAAAGAACCAAAATCAATATCAATCCCATCATAGAACATTTAGAGTTGTTGGATTAAAATGGATTAAAACTCAAGACTGCCATAATATACATGGTGTTCACAAGTGTGTATAAACTTTTGTTCAGTGTTCAACATCAACATCACTTCCAGCCTCACCACAGTGACAGCATCATTGAGCAGCGACTCTCCAAACACCAAGATGTGCAGCTGCTCGTTGACGTGCATCTCCTGGAAGACGGAGAGAACGGCCACCGGGTCGACGGCAGCGATCAGGGACCCGAACAGCAGGCAGTGCAGCAGAGAGACGTCTCCCAGAGAGCTCTGGGCCAGCAGGCAAACCCCGTACAGCGACAGGCCGATGCCCAGCACGTTCCACAAGGTTCCCAGCACTGCATACCTGGAGGCGTATACAAAATCAGCTTTACAACAGCAGGAATGAATCAGACATCAACCTGCACCAGCATTCATTCAAAGCTGTGTCATACTGAGACATTTAAAGACTTCATTCTGACCTTTTACTTTAAAGCCCTGTCTATTAATCTGTGAAAAGTTGGTAGATGAAAAAGTGTCCTTCCCAAACCAAAATGTATTCACAACCTCCCACACATGCACATGAAAAGAAAGCATTCGAGTCTACCAACCAGAGAATGGTACCAAGGTTTTCAAAGAACAGCCTCCCTGGCAGGAAATATCCTGCATCTAAGACGATGGGTGGCAGCAGAAAGAGGAAGAAAGCGTCGGCACTGAGGGTTGGGGGGGCAGAGTGTCGTACCCCATAGATCACCCCTCCAACCAGGAGGCCCACCATGATGAGGACGCAGCTCTCCGGGACGACCGCCGGGACTCGACCGGACCAGTGGAAGCCTGCAGCAATGAGATACGGAGAGAAAATGAAAAAGCAAATAAAAATACATGTGGCTGTTTGGATTCAGTGGAACAGTGTTGGATGTGGACTGAAAGGTGGAACTACAGTCGTACACATCACACTCACATGAACTCCTATAGCTGCAGAGTCGTGTCTTAACAGGGTGTTGGTGTTGGTTTTGCATTTTGTACTTTGATAGACAGTTCTGGAAATTGAAGTCCCTCCGACCAGATTAGCACCGGCGCATGCATGCTTCTTGAATGTGCAAAAACAGCCAAACCAAAAGTCACTATGACATTTGGCTTCTCATAGGATTCAATGCCGTTCCTCTAAATGAAGGCTGATTTCATAATCCATTCAACCAGCACATTCTTCTTCCACTGCCCTCTACACTAGCTTATCTGGGTAAAAAGACTTTGCTAAAGTCTCCCATTATGGGCTAGATTCTCTAAAGTGTAAAAACAGAGTAAAGAAGAGGCGAAGAAGCCGAGTTTCCACTCAAACCACTTGACTTACAACATACTGAAAAGTTAGGATGGAATTTTACCACCAATGCTTTATTGGGGAGAAAGGCACAGTCAGAAATTCAGAAAACCACTGACCATGACATGCAATATGTTTCAGTTTTTCAATATGTTTAAATAGAAAAAAAACTGAAACATGTACAGGTGTGAACAAAAATTTAGATACGCTAGTTAACACCATGTATCAATCATCTTTGTCACAAAAAAAGCAATCATGTTTTGTTTTTTTCATAAATTTAGAATAGATCTGGAAATGCTGGGTCAAAAATATACATACAGCAACTTGAATTATCATGTAGTAGTATTTGGTGAAGTAGGAAGCTGTTTTAATCATTTTTTTAAAGCGGTGTGGTCTTTACTTCTTGTGAGTGATAACGATTGACTACAGCTGCTGACTCCTCTGAGCCGATTTAAATAGGGCCCATCTGATCCACTCATCAGACTCGGCTACAAACAAATGGAAAGTCTGAGCTCAGCAAAGATCTAAAGCAACAAATGAGTGTCAATGTCCACAGCCAAATGTGTTTTACATTGCCAAGGGCCAACAGGCTGCCGTAAAAGATGGAAGTGCAAAGGAGTGGCGCCTTGATGTTCAACTGAAGCTGATCACAAAGAAAAGGCCTTTTGGAGGAACGTTCTGTGGTCAGATGGAACAAAATGGAGCCATTTGACTACAGTGACCAGAAACATGTTTGGAAAGGAGAAGTTGAGGCCTTTAACCTCAAGAGCACCAAACTTACCGTCAAGCATGGTGGTGGCAGTATCATGCTGTGGGGCTGTTTTGCTGCCAACTGAACTGTTTTCCCAAATAAATGGCCAGGAACATTCAGACAAATATTATCATGTAGTATGTATATTTCTGACCCAGCAGATGTAGTCATATTTCAAGATCTATAAGACATCATGAAAGAGCCAAAATGCAAGACTGTTTTTTGTGACCAAGAGAATTGAAATCAAAGAAATATAGAAGTTAATTGGGTCATTGGAAACTCAAGGCTGAAATGATATGCATGGACTATGCATGTTAAGTGTATGTTAACTGTTGTTTCCTACAGTATGTATAATAGTCTTTCTGTTGAACTCCCTGACCTGTATTTGATCGTCCATTCCCACAGCAGCACAATTAATACACACAAAGTCACACAACCTACAAGTCCTTAAAAGTCCAACTGGAGTAAACGTCAAAATATTAAAGGGGAAATTGTATTCATTATTGAATTTTTGCCAAATTACACCATAAACTACTGTCCATGCCAACTTTAATGCAAGAGAATTTGAAAGCTAGAAATGCAGAAAACCACTAATGGTAGCAAACAGTACGTTTCAGTTCTTCAAAAAGTGTGTAACAGAGAAGTTCTGTTTCAGTGTTTATATGGTAAACACATGATTTTTTTGGACTTTCCCCTTATTTAACATATAAATAAGTGATTCAGAAGATGAGTGTGCTAAAATAAGTTGGACTGTATTATTGATGCAGTAGTTAATAAAATCACCTTTTTAATTAGCATTTCCAACCCCTGACTTCTATATATGCATGTAGTTTTTCACCTATAATAACATCTAAGCATCTGTAGCACCAAATCCAAGGTCGGCCTCTCTCGTACGAGCAGACTGAGGCTTACCCAGCTTGGCCAGCGAGGCCAGCATGATCCACAGCACGATCTCAAAGGGAGCCTGCACATGGTGGTAGTCCACGCTGAACACCCTCAGAGCCATGGGCAGATCCACGGACGGGCCGCCATCATCGCTGCTGTTGAAGCCCAGCGAGGGGGGCAGGTTGTGGGGCCGAGGGAGCTCGTCGGGAGGGGTCAGGGCCAGACATCCCTGCAGACAGGCAGAGAGCAGCAGAGGGAGAGTCCACAGAGCAGCCATCCTGCAGCCATGCTGGGACAACAGGGGAGGCAGAGAATGGGACTGGTGTGTTGTGGAGACGGGGAGGGCGACACATGCACACAAAACAGCCTGAGCAGAACTCATGCAGCCACTAATGTGCACAGGAATCCCTGAGCTTGCAATGATATCCAACCGGCAGCACAGAGCTCAAGGGCTGCAGCACACACTTTTTTTTCATTTCAGGGCACATTACATTGACTTACATTTATTTTAGCTACAACCAGGACCTGCCTAACCCTAAACTTAGCCTAAATCAGAATCAGAATCAGAAATATTTTATTGATCCACTAGAGGAAATTGCTTTCGGGTACAGATGCTCCCAATCAAAAGTCTTAAAAGAAGTAAAAATATATAATAAAATATAAAGTATTAGTATGAAAATGAAATAAAATATAACACAAAAAATAAGTACACATTCTGCTGTTGTATGTTCATATACAGTGCCGTCATAATAATAATACTAACATTTAATTTTAAAGCTGCAGGGTGGCGCAGTTGGTTCGCATTGTTGCCTTGCAGCTAGAAGGTTGCTGGTTCGCGTCCTGGTGGGGGCACCGGGATCTTTCTGCGTGGAGTTTGCATGTTCTCCCCGTGCGGCATGGGTTCTCTCTGGGTTCTCCGGCTTCCTCCCACATAGTCCAAAAACATGTTGAGGTTAATTGGTGATTCTAAATCGTCTGTAGGTGTGAATCTGAGTGTGCTTGGTTGTTTGTCTCTAAGTGTAGCCCTGTGATAGATTGGTGACCTGTCCAGGGTGTCCCCTGCCTTCGCCCTAAGTCAGCTGGGATAGACTCCAGCCCCCCATGACCCTAGTGAGGATTAAGCGGTGTATAGATAATGGATGGATGGATTTAATTTTAAACCTAAACCTTCCACCAAGTCCAAAAAATGTAATGATTTGCATTCTGAGAACTTAAATTTTATCCCCAACAAATGTGTCTCCACACCAGAACACACACACGGTGAAATCAGCACCGATGGTTTTATGTTTCAGTCTTTAACAGCTCAAACAGACTGAAATGAATAGTAACACATTTTGCTCATCTAATAACATGAAAAAAAAAAGGCTTCTGGGATCAAATTTTCCACATTTACTCTCGCACTGTGACGACAATCCTCGATTTCTCGGAATTTGCGTTCTATTGGGCTCATTTGATTCGTAATATCCTATTTCAAACAAACAAACAAGTTACTGTGGATACGGCACGTTATGATTATTGAAATTATTTAGAACGGTACATTATGAGGATTTTTTTTTTGCTGCAACCAAAAGACTTTAATTACAGATATCTTTCCCCTCTAGTGTCTTATTATTAAATGTAGGGGTTTTTATCATATTTCTCATTTCATTTCAGTGTGTTTGCAGTCTGCCCGCGGCCAACATAAGGATCTGTATTAGAATAAGTCTTCCGCTGCATAATTACTCCAAATAATAATGGGTTTAGCGAGTTTAGTTGTGCGGGTCATTTGCACAGTAAACACAAAAATATGCTGCTTCTGCGAGTCTATCCCTTCTCCAAATATTTGAACAGATGGAACGTGAAAATATTTATTTTCCTTTGGTTTTAAAATCTGTTGCTGCTTTGGGAAAGTTGTTACACATTCAAATCCAGGCCAAGAGAACAGTTTGAGGCTAAGGTGGCTTTTCTTTCTGCAATATGTTGGTGAATTATCATTTGAACAATAAGCAGAGATACTGAGAGTTGATCAGTTTGCTAGAGAGGCTTTCAGACAACCACGGGAAGCTGAAATTATTATAAAATATAAATGATTTGCTTTCATATAGAGCCTTTTAGCCCTTGCAATAGAAAGCACTTTTTAGTGTTTCTCATTCATTCATTTGCACTGATGCTCACAAGTGCAGCCAATGAGGGCAACTGGTGGTTCAGTGTCTCGCCCAGGGACACATCTGCATGCAGATTGGTCGGGGATCAAACTGTCCAATTGGTACAGAAGAACAACATGAGAAAATTAATCGCTTTAAAATTAGACATGCTTTTACAGGGTTTTTGAAAAGCTGTAACAAAACTCTTTTATTATTGATGTATTGATGAGTCATCTATAAGAATGACTCTGCCTTTTAAAGGTCATCAGTACTTGCTCTGCCTTCGTGAGATGCTGTTTGCTGGAATATTTCTTGTGCTGATGAGCATCTGGACCTTTTTTTTTTTTTTTTTTTTAAAGAAAAGTTTGTTGTAGCTTCTTATATGACTAAACAGATTTCGACTTTTTGGAAGTTTCTTCATCTCTTTTCAAGGACAAATAACAGTAATGAGTGGTGCACAGACAATATTGACTATTTTGAAAGACATTGTGACATAACAGGAGAAGCACAGGTGTATTATCAAAGGCGGCGTGCTGGCTTACCCAGACACTTTCTGAAACAGAATCATTGTTAATAATATTGGTAACATCTGTGCTTTTCTTGCTGCGACAAGTCAGAATAACTTCTCTACCCAGTGCTAGAAACACTTGTACATTGTTATTTCTAAGGATGCAGCTTCACATTCTGGTTTCATGTGTTCACTGTGTACCTGTAACCAAGTCCACGGTGACAACCTGATACAGTACATGTAGAGACAGGAAAGTAAGATATCATGTCGATGTTAGATCTACCTCACACTTTTAACCAGAGGAATTTGAATTTGTGTAACCAGAGCTTTGACTGGGACAGAAGAACCTCAGTTTGGACAATGAAATTCTAACCGAATGGGGCTTCGCCTCCAGTTCTGAAGCCGTCCACTAAGCTCACATAGCGTGACGTCGTCCCTTTGTGGATTCTTAATCAGACTTCATGTGACAGGACAGACGCTGAGTTCAGCGCGCCTTCCTTTGAGCACATCATGTGATATTATTTCTTTTGCTGGTAAATGAGATTTAGATTCATCATAAATGACTT